TTACTGTGATAACTATTGCATGGTAATGTGATTCTGTATTACTTATTAATCCTATGATAATGGAGCTAATCTCTGGAAGAGTATATAGAACAAGGAACGAGTATGTCGTCATCACTGTTACCGCCTCGTGAAAGTCCGATAAAAGAGGATTGTGTCATGTTGGCAGAATATGTACGGTCGTTGACTTAAAATTATCTGCTTTATCAACCATTTGTGTGTTATGGCAGCCTTAACTAAGACCATAAACCAATTATTTGTCATGAAGAAGCTTAGTGATCTTCATTAATAATCCTTTATCTAATTTTATCACAAGGCAATGCATCGCTATGTGTGCGATATTTGGTTAACTGTCGTCGTTGTTCCGCCTGGAGAGAACGTGCCAATTACAGTATACACTAACTCTATCAGCGAGTCTTTGCGCTGTTCTCTGTTGTAATATTATTGTGGATGTCATTTATATCATTTTATTTTCTAAGGAAGGGGGTGGGCTTTTTGATGATCTGAATTTTATTGACTTTCCATAATTTGGAAAAGTCAAAGTGGTTGATCTTTGTGCTGTTTGTTGATGTTCTAGTCTATTACAGGATGATTTTTTTTTTACTGCAGATGATGATGTGTTTCACTTTTGTTCCTCCAAGTGTTAACTTTGCTTGCTACAACAAAACTACACCGGAAGCTATAGTATCATAGACATTTCTTGGGGGCTATTGATATCAGTAGTTTGGTGTTTCAAGTAAAAATGGGGTCAATCAGTTGTACAGGCATTCTTCTTGGAGAAGCCATTTTTCTTTTGAGGTTGTTACACATTGTTACACATCCTCTTGTCTCTCCCTCTCCTTCTCTCTCTCATCTTTCTCCCCTCTCCTTCTCTCTCTCCCCTCTCCTCTCTCTCCCTTCTCTTTCTCTCTCTCCCCACTCTTTCTCTCTCTCCCCTCTCCTCTCTCTGACCCCCCCTCTCCTCTCTTTTTTCTCTCTCTCTCTCTGTCTCATGTGCTTATCTCCATAGTATGTGGAAGTGTTGTCTTTAGTCTTGTAGATTTTTGTGCCTTTCATTCCCAAATGAGTTCACAAAATGTTGTGGAATTTTTTGATGAACACAACTACAGGGGAACCTAGACTGAGTTCCTGCTGGTTCATTATTGGATATTGTGCAGCAAGGTCACTGTGCTTATCTGAAAATTGCCTTGTTAAGTATGCTTTTTCTTGCATGTCATGTTAGAAAACAATCCTTAACCGTGCACTATAAAAGATTTGCGCTCGTCGATCGTGTTGTCTTTCCGTGCCTCACCCAAGAGGGATACCTGTTAATCATAAAACAGTAATGTGCTAAGTCATGTTCTCTTACCAAGGTCAGTTGGTCTTATCATAAGATTAATGTGTAGATAAATTTTCTTCACTGTAGTAATGAACTTAGCTGCTGGTACAGTATTTAGTTTTCTGGAAATATCCAGTATTTTGTACAAAGAAAATATTGTTATGGTAACAGTTACTTCAAGTTGAGCATTTTTTTGTATTTGGACTGTCACTCTATAACAAACATGATGGTGGTGTGTTTGACTGGTATTTTTATAATTGGTTGATGAGCTCACTCTCTACTGTATGGTGAGCATTGGTGGAATTAATAATATTTATTTGTCAATACTGTATCTCCATTGTATATGCCTTCTATCATACAATAGGTTGGCAAAATAATTTATTTTATTGCATTTCCATTTGTTCTTAGTGTAGGTTTATTAAAGAAAACCAACATCAGAATTGAATATACTTTACTGTGTATTGTTTTGGCCAGAACTTTTTGAAAAGTATTATACCTTATATAATTTCAGTCTAAAATGCTGTTTGCATGAGATACATTCAGTTTTACCTTAATCATAATTTTCAGGTTGTCTCTAGTAATCTATTTGTTTGTTGAAAGGTCTGCTGATATACTATAATGGCAGAACAAGTAATGCTGACAAGCACAGCCTAGTCTGGCTTGTATAAGTCCATTAAGTTAATAACACACTTAACCAAGGATTTATTATATATATATGTGCATCAATAAGCTCCAAGTATGAAGTGATTATGTCAATACTTTCACATGCTAATTATTGTTACAACCCACAGAGCCAGCAATCACTCGGGTGGGTGAACCAGCACAATCTCAGGGTCTTTGTTTGCTCCTAGAAATCTTGTACTGCGTGAGTGTAATAATCCAAGTAAGCGTTGGCAAAATATCTTTTGTTTTATTATTTTTTTATTTGCAAGTGTTAACAGGCTGTTTACCTCAAGGTTTATAATTAGCATTTTAATAAATTATAAGGCCAAGTTCACAGGGCAATTGGAAGTGCCTCCTTTCACAGTTGTTATATTAGTCATTGTTTAATGAAAAGCATTAAAGCTCATCTGTGTAATGTTTAGAGATAATGTTTATTATTAATATTTTAAGCTCACAAAGAGGTATAATTGTTCTGTGACTGGACTTTCTTTTGAGCACTAATTAGTCACTGACGTCTAGAACTTTTTGAAGATGTTTCCGAGTAATTAAGTGTCGAGATTGCTCACAATTTCAAAAGGGGGGATGACATCAAGGGTTAAAGTAATTTGTGTATGGTCAATGTTACATGATTCTGATGACTATATCAGAAAAATCTTACTTGCTGTTTCAGTGTGTAAGTAAAGGGTTAGGTTATTTCCATTGTTTACTGTGCAGTCAAAATCCTAACCTTTCTCAAATATTAACGAACAGTCTGGACTAGAACATTTTAACAAGTTAGAAATTATTGGAGAGTGAAATAATTGATTGACCTCATTAACTTTATTAAAGTATTTTCTTACGCTGTAAAACTAGAATAAGTAAGGCAGTCACTCTACCCAATTTATCTGTTCCTGATATGATGTGTTGTGATTACTGATGAAATGATAAAGGACTAAGTTCTTACCCTGGATGATGTCACCCCCCTATGTATACTCGCGTGGGTTTAGGGAGCACTTGGTAATCAGGTCCATTAGTATGTATATAGGATTTTTAAATTATTGTTATTTTGCCATAAGGAAGTATTACTATCTATATAAATATTTATCATAACTTGTATAATATGCTATTTAGGATACGCAATGCTGATATGTGACACTAAACATGACAATATTGATAACTGATGTTCACTGCAATTCTGGCTGGACCAATTTGTGGGTCTTTAAGGTCTACCTACCAGTACTGCAGTTGGTGTAACTCTTCCTTAAAGCCACCCAGGGTTAGCATTTTATTGTCATTCGGAGAGTCTAATCATGACAATCAACCTTGGTCCACATAGATATGAGTGAGATGGATACCTTATAGAATATTAGAGATTTATCCTGTAGGAAAGCAGTAATTTGAAGAAAGAGATTAAATGAATCTTGTGATCTACACCAAATGTCATCTTCCTAATTGACTCTTGTCGATGGTAGTCTCTACAACCCAAAATTAGGGTGTATGCACGAATTGCTCAAAGATTTTTGTCGTTATTGCCTGTCTTACATGGCCAAAAGGAATTAATATGCATTATTGATCTGTGTAGTTTAGAATGGAATGTAACTCAACATTTCTTGTATAATTTTGCAAGAGCCAGCATTTTATTTTTGTTCGTTCAATGTAATCCCTGTGGTAAGCACTGTTGGTCTTATATCACAATACTGTACGGTACCAGCACTTTAAAGCACTGCTTTAATTTTTTCAGGCCAGATACTGGTATGTGTTGCTCCCAAAGCTTGTAAATATAGCATTACTAATTAAGAAATAATTTGAAGTTAATTATATCATTAACTAGCAATATTCTTCTAGTATGAAAATAAAGGTTAGAAGCTTGTAAATATAAATAAATTTGGTGCTCAGTTTTGGCAACATTTGAGTATTAGTAGTATTAGGATTTTCATATACATGTTGTTATTCAGGTCAAATAAAATGTGAAATAGGAGCTCAAAATTATAAATTGTAGTACAGTAGCTGTGAATTTACACTTTTTGAGCTTATTTAGACATTTTTTTTTAAATATTGGTTTATTAAATAGGCATAATCATTCAATTAAGCCTTAAAACACAACTGACATATTTTACCAAACGGGGAAAATTTATTGTTCTTATAGTAATAATTTGATGGAATTTACTTCACACATGGGAAAATTTACAATACTGTATCATTTAAATATACAGTGCATCATTTATTATCATAATATAATGAAACTATACTGAAATTAGATGAAGTAAGGTTAGGTTAGGGTGTTTAACTTAGTAGTGATACTGTTCCTTTATGATTTGTTTATCAACTTGATCTTCCCAACATAAAGACAAGCTGGAATTTTCAAATACCTGGTAAAAATAAAGAAAAATAAGCATAAATTATTGTCACACACACACACACACACACAGATAATGAGATCTACAGTATTACCTTGGAAATCAGGCACTATTTAAACAGAGAGGATATCAGATTTTCCAACTTGTTAGTTTTCTAAATGTAAACATATATCTTGACACAAATTGAACCAACAATACCATGACTTATACATGATCATGTTTCAATCAAATCCCTATAATTTGGAATAATTTATTTGTGGGAAGGCCTGTCCTGTTTGGCTGAAACTTTTGAGTGGGGTGGGCTACTGTAGTAATATCTATATTGCAGGGTGGAAAATTTCAGAGGGTGGGGGATTTTTGAGTCAAGCTACCTAAGAACACCGAACCCACTAATTTTAAGCTAGACTTAACACACTCAGCAGATTTATGTCATATGAACATCTCTCATACGCTATTGGCAGCTTGGTGCTGGTTCTTGGTACAGCTGTACTCAGTGAGTTACTGAGTAGCTGGTGTCACCGGGAGCCTCACGCCCTAAAAGTACCGGTATTTGTACCTCCATTTGATGGCCCGTATCATATACAGTAGGATTTTTTTTTTGTATACACAATATACATTATGTATTTAAACAGTCTTTTAGATAAATTATTCGTGATCAGTTTGGTTAAAATTGTGTTTCTAACTGAAGTAAACTTATTTTAGAGAGATTGGTATAAATATTTTTTATGGTCTTCATAAAGAAAATGAGTTCCCAACATATCATTTTGAAATAATATTTAAGGGTCTTCTTGAAACAAGCTTGTAGAGAATTTATTCAGGATCATTACAGTACCAAGTTCATGTTTCTAACACAATTAGAATGGATGTTATGGATGAAAGTTTTGACATTTTCTTAATCGCCGTAAATTTGCGCCTGTGGCTGTGGTCTAATGTAATAGAAGAGTGATAAGATAATCGTACAAAGTAGAAGAGTGTTTCTTATAGTATAGTACATTATTACTTCACTATAATATGCCTGTTGTTAAAAAAGAGAAGCACATAGTACAGAACACGTTAATAATAAAGTACAGTATTGTACTTGTCAATTATTACCTTTTATCATGAGTCGGTTGAGTCTAGAGGTAGGAGGTGATTGTACGACACTCCCATTGTATGCCACTGAAGGTGACGCACTGCTAATTTCGTTGACTATATATGCTGTACACTATTTATATTTCTTAGACACTTCACTTTAGTGCTCCTCAGCAACCACCTCCACCACAGTGCCAGCCCCCACTTATATGAACTTTCGTCCCATACTAACCATATTTTGGTTGTGTTTTCTGGATTGTGGATACATGTGTGGTGTTGGACCCCAGTCCAGTTTGCAAGGGGGATCTGGATTAAGTGAGTCCACATTAGAGGGAGTTTACTGTATATATTTTTATTGGGTAAGAAAGGTTGGGTTTATGTTGTATGTCATCATAAATTGTATACGGCTCACCTTGTTTAATGAACCACAGCAAGCTGCATGCCTATTGCATGTTTTAACTTTCTGTGCATTGTTTTCAATAGTGTAATTTTTTTTTCCATGTAATAGCAAATACTTAATGTGTTTTGTCAGGCAATTGCACTGAATAGCTTTTCCCCATTAAATTTAACATTAACTAGATGTGAAACACATTACAGTGTTGGACTGATGCTACACTCACAGAGGCAGCCTAGCTGCTTCTGTCATGCATCTTCCAAGTTGCCGGATAGGTCAACCTATCAATCTGTCTATAATGATAGTGTTTCCATAATTTATTAAGTCCTTTTAATATTTATTCAGTTCAACAAGAAATGGGGCTTTATAATGCTTATTTTATTTCAGTTTACTGCTTGTGATGTCATATAGAATAATTCCAAATAAACCATTATTATTGATAGCCTATGGAAGTTGGCACATGCCACTATATTTTTTAACTGAAACATTCCTTTGTTTGTAAATACAATAGATTGTGAGATTTTAATGAGTATCTCTTTGGTGAAGTATTTTAACCATGTTTGATGAGTATATGTTCAATGATGTATTTTAACCATATTTAGTGAGTATATGTTTGGTAATGTGTTTTAAATATGCTTTGACTTGTAACTACAGTAATCATTCCTTATAACAAAATTCCTTTTTGTGAAAATTCGATTTAGCAAAACGAATTTGTGCCTGTAGTATTTGCTTCTTCATTTAGCGAAGCCTCCTGGAGTTTCAGATAACCCCATGTGGGTTTGCAGCATTATTTTAGCGTAATCAGTCAGTTTTCCACGATGCCTCCAGATTTTTTCGTATTCGCTCAGCGTGTGTGCACGTGTTTCATTGTCAACATACCTAAAGTGAAGAGAAGGGTAAGAATGTTGTCAGATGGCTGACTACCTGCTCTCTCTCGCCATCACATAAAATATGTGCTAATGTATTTTATGATGTGCCATGAATCATTTTTATTGTTTATTATAAAAAAAATTCATTTTTGTTGTATGCAAAATACAGACTTAACAAAGGACTGGAAGCCATGAATCATTTTTATTGTTTATTATAAAAAAAATTCATTTTTGTTGTATGCAAAATACAGACTTAACAAAGGACTGGAACCTATTTCCATTTAAATATAACTCTGACAATGAAGTGGATTTTATGAACATGCCCACTTTATCGCGAGAGGAATGAGTATATTCGATTTAGCGGAATCCTCACTTTTGCAGAATCGGCCTGCATGCTTTATTCCGTTGTATAGAATCATTACTGTATTGATGTTATGCAGTACAGGTCAATAAGCTCCCAGAGTAAGCACTGCCACAAATGAATTTAACATGACGTTTTGTAATGAGTGTAAGTGGAAGGACTTTTCAAAATAATTCTTTGTTGTTCGTTTACGTGAATTTTCTATACTTATTTTTTTTATTTTGACAATTTCTAAAGGCTTAGTTTTGTGAGACTCCCACATAATTGGTAGCCAGATTTCCAAAGGTGTACTGTATCTGTGTGCCTATGCATGCAAACAAAAATCACACAAGAAAAATAATTCATATGATATGCAAGGTAGCCATTAAGAAAAGTGTGTGTGTGTGCGTGCGTGCGTGCGTGTGTAAGCTTACTTTATTGTGGATTGAAAACCCGTGAAACACAATATTTTGTCAGGGTTACCGTATTTGGCATTTAGCAGAATACTAATAGGTAATTGTTCATCGTAAGGGAGACTTATCTTTATCTGGCCTGGAATGCTTTGGTTATGACAATTTTCATATAATAGGAAGCACCATCTCCACAATTTTTATACATTAATGGCACAGTTGAAAGAAAAGGAGCCATGGGTAATGCCTCGGATAAATTCACCTTTCATTTCTTGCATTTTATTACCTTTAGCAACTCTGAAGGCTCATCCAAAAAGTAGTAGCTTTTACATGATATTAACTATTACTCTAAGTATATTCTTTAAATAAAATTATAGTTTAAATACAAGAAAACCTATATAAAAAGCTGTATATAACTTAAGAATGTTGAAGGGTAATATAGTGTAATTACTGTACAGTACTTATCTTCAGCATTGTACAGTATAAAGTTTTTACTGTAGTTTTAGCAATAATACAAAAGTTTCAATACATTCTCTTGTAACTTATATCCAGGAACTGGTAACCAGTCTTTTTTTTTTTCCCCTCCTCCCAATAAATGACATGAGTACGAATTAAGGTTTGAACAGTATGGCAGTTTCTTCATTAAGAGCATGGGTAAAAGCATCGGCAATTTGTTATTCTAAGTTGCTTGTGAATCATGAAATAATTTTTGTATTGACATATAGGGGGTCCCCGGGTTAAGAACAGGTTCCGTTCCCGAGGACGTTCTTAAGTCGGAACACGTGCTATGTGCATACTGTACTTACAGAACAATGTTTGAAATCACACTATATCATAGCCTAAGTCCTTATATACATTTAAAATCACTTAATTTAAAACAAAAGAAGAAATAGAATGACAAAAATACTGTGAATGAAGGTGAAAAAATAAGTCATCGGGAAAATAAAATACAGTTCGTATCAGTGGGCGTTCATAAATCAGACTTTCATAAGCCGGTGGACCCCCTGTATAGGTATTTGTTTTTCTAGAGGATTAAATCATAATTACTAGATTTGTTGATGCATTAAACATGGCTCAGTGTTGGATAGTATACAACAAATTTGATTTTGTTTGGCTACATGTACTCACTCCTTGAGATGGTGCTACCTTATGACTGCTGTTGACTACACTGTGTAGTAAATGTTACTCATTTAAGTATGTATTAATGCTCTCTTTCATAAGCCAACTCAAATTCACTGCTTTACCGTCCAATGAAGGTGAACTTCACTATCAATGATAATATGATCCAAAGTTACAAATCAATTTGATGAATTTTATTACTAAAAGAGATATTTGAAGCCAGCATTAGAGGAAGGATTTTACTTCTGAAGGGGCTTCACATTTTGTTTGTTACTTCAAGTTGTCATTGTTGCTGTTTCTATTTGGCCTTCAGCACACCCAGCATTTGTCTATTCCTTTCATATTTGTTGTCCAGCAGTATATAACCTCATTATACCAAATAACAAACACATATTTTAGCATTAGATGCCATACTATGGAGCTTAATGTTCTATTCTATTGATTATTGCTGCCATTTTCCTAGCCCAGTAAGTATGAAAGTATTAAATATTCTACACTATTTAAGTCCAGTAAGGTAATACTGTATATTAAAGTTGCTTCATAGTGACAAGTTCATAAGATGACTACACGAGCTAAATTTAACTTATACAGTGCATGGGGATTTAGATTCTATATTCAATGATGATACAGGATGTGATTTGCAGTAAAATATTTAAAAAGATAGAAGTTGCCGGTGATGTCACTCTCTGCTTGCTAGTTCCTTATGGTGGCCGCTTCCCCATTACACTTACTTGTGGCCTTCTGTGTCAAGTGTTCGTAGTTGTCAGAATCTTGGGACGTGTGCTGCCTCCCCACATTATGGTTCAGGGAGTGCTGCATAATGTAGTGAAGGCACTTCACAAAGTTGCCCCCTTTACCTGCCACTGTCTTCTGGGCCCACATATTATAAAATGAGCCTTATTGCAGATGTAATAAAGCACAGGATTGCTTATTACCTTATATATGATGTATCTACAAGGATGCCAAAGATTTGCTGTTATTGGTGTCTAATGTCATTAGTGGATGTCTTTTGATTGTTCATGTTAACCATCATCTTATATTTCCCATCCCTTAGACTTGAGGATTGTAGGTCTTCCCAAAAGAGATCATCATATCTGGGGGTCTGCCCTTCTGGCTGGGCTACGTATTTGAAACTTAAATTTCACGGATATTCTGTCATAATCTTCCAATTGTATACCTGTTATACTCATCTTTTAAAATGGTTTTGGGTCAATAAGAAGTGTGTGGCAGTGCACATTTCCTAATTGTTCACTATGGTAAGCCTAATAGTAGATAGTTGTCTTTTCCTGTATTGTAAGCATTCACACTAGTTGATGGCATTAGTTGTTATTCCACAAAGTTGTTAAGGATAGCTCTTTCTGGTGTGATCAGGTATTAAAATATAGGCAAATGTCAGAGACATTATAGATGTAGTTACACTTTGAGCATTTTTGCAGTCTATTGCAAAAGAGTCACTTTTAACTTGTGCACTAAACTGCTGTTGATGAATATACAAGTAGAGGTATAAAAAAAAGAGTTCCAAAATACATATCATTGATCATTGAGATCTTAAATCTTTTCAACGATAGCAATTGACCTTTATCAATTTTGCTTTTGAATACTGTTTAAAGATTTAAGTTAGAATTATGTGATGGTGAGAAAATTTAGATGGCCCGTAATTTATCAGGTTTGTATGAGCAGTACTGAACTGTATTGTGGGTAGCTATGTATTGGTTGATTTTCCTTTAATTATATTGTTACTTTTTTAATATATATATATATATATATATATATATATATATATATATATATATATATATATATATATATATATATATATATATATATATATATATATATATATATATATATATATATATATATATATATATATATATATATATACACACACACACACACTCTCTCCTCGACTTACAACAGGGTTCCGTCCCGACGACCAGGTCGTAAGTCGAAACGGCGAAAATAATACATAGAAATTCTAAAATGGGTCTCTTTTTCTTCTCAGCACCACGAGAACTCTCACCTTTACGCTTCCCAGTCATTTTAAAGGGAATTACAAATGAAATTTTTTTCATTACACAGCGCGATCACTTATGTCGAGACTCGAAAATACGTAATGTGAAAAATATTTTATGCGACCATGGCCTTTGTATGTCCGGGTTGCCGTAAGTCGAATATGTCGTAAATCGAGGAGAGAAAATATATATATATATATATATAATTCTGCGAGTGCTTATGAACTGTAACTGTCAAGTATTAGTGAGGTAAAGCACCCAGCTAGAAATAGTCAAAAGGTTTTTGGTATGTAAAAGTCTATTAAAGAAAAAAAAATCAAAATTTTTTGTAATTTGAACAATATCTCGAGGATGTGTGTTGTTTTCTTCGGGTATTGAGTTCCAAATATATGGAGCTCTGTTGAGTGATGTTATATATAGTTTTTATGGTGCACAAATAGGAAGACATGCAGGAGAGTATTTTTATGAGATCAGCATTTATGTGCCTTATGCAGGGTTTGACATTTGACATTTTTTTCATTTGCAACATATAATAAGTATTAATTCTCTTACTTAAGGCACAAAACTGCTGTTCTAGTCACATTTATGCTGCCTGTTGTCTATTCCATTTATTCTATTGATTTTTCTTTCTCATAACTTATTGATCGTTTTTGGAAATGTGTGATAAAAGTGGAATTTGTAATTTTCACACTAATTGTACACCTTCATTTTTACCTGCCTAGACATATGAATTAGGTACTACAGTACCAATAGAAATTATGTTGTGATGAAACAGAATTACATTTGTGGAATACCCCAAAATGAAACTCTTTTGTAATGTTCTAAGAAAGTAGCATTTTTCTTTATATTTACTCTAATTGTTTGGAAGTAGGCATTGGAGCGCTTCAAGAGTGCAAATGTTAGTCTAGGATTGATATTACTTAACATTAGTATTAGCTGCGTAATAATCAAGTCATTTATTGCACCCTTTGTCTCACGGTTAGGTCTTAGTCTTAATGACTACATTCAATGAACACATTGCAAAGCCAAGGTTTTCTGTTGTTTTTCTAGGCCAGAGAGATTTGTTATTCTGGAGACCTTGATACTCTTGAGTTTAAACTATGAAAGTGAAATCTTTGATTGAGTAAAATTTACTTGAGTATCATATGATAAGTTTAATTTAATTTTGATGCTTCTCCTTTCCCTGTTGGCATTATTTGGGAAACTATGAGCAATGTTGTGATAACTTGCAATACAGTTTGTAGAAAGTAAAAGTATAGTTATTTTTTATATTTATTTGTTTCATCTGTCAGTTTCTTATTTTTCCTCTAAATAACTGGAGTAGATGTTGATGATCTTTTATTTTTATTTTATTTTATTTTTTCTGTAGTAAGATGTATGGGTATAGTGTCTCCACTTTTTTGTTGGGAACCAAGTTTATTATGATAGTTAAATGATACATCATCAATGCTGTTATTCTCATTTTGAATATTATGTAATTTAAAATTTGGCTGTGAAGTTGCATATATACTGCACACTTCAAATTATGAAAAACAAATTATACAGCATATGATGGATGGATATTAGTTGGGTTCTACTGTGGATTGGGTTACTAGAAGGTGTTACTAGTTATGGTGACCCAGAATCAGACATAGCTGCGTCAGTGTGGACTAATCATTGTAGACAAGCTCTGTAACTAAAGCTTCAGGACATAGTGCTGGCTACTGATTATTTTTCATCTATTCGTGTAATGATAAGAAATTTCATTAATAGTATGAAATTAATTTATTTCAATGATATAAATTTGTAACTAAAACTGGGAATATTGCTGTATGTTATCAATAATTGTACACTTGACAACACTCACCCATGGTGCCTGTGCATTGCTCAACAAAAAATTTTCTCATTGAATCAGGCACTTCGAGATGGGTATTTATAGAGCTAGCTGACGCAGCTGAAAATGTCAGTTAATCTTTTTGTTGAAGAATTTCCATCTCTGCTGGCATCATATTCAGTTTAAATCTTCAGAGAATTAGATGTTTTTTATAAGGATGTTTGATGATACTTTATTAAGTGCTAATCTGATTTTAATGAAAGAACTCAGAAGATATGCATGTGTACCATGTGTATGGATAAACATTATACAGGTACTGTATTTAATTTATGATTTACTAAGTAAGACTTGACATATTCATTGCTTTATATGTTAAAGCATCAAGAATCATACCACTTTTGATTTAACCATTCAACTGCGTTCTTTCAAGGTTATTACTTTTGTTGACCATTTAGCCAATAATGTGTTCATGGTAGATACTATTGGACAAGTAGTTATTCAGAGGCTTTGTTTCAGTGGTGTGGTAATCCAATCTGTGATTTTTCCTGTGCGGTTTGCAGCTACTGAGGTTGTCGGAGCCAACTTGGCGGACTGAGCAGGCACGTTTTTTTATGGGGATTAAATGAAGGGTACCAGATGAAAGAGGTGATAGACAGGATAGAGCTAGACTAAAAATTTGGGGATTATGTTATGTGTGTGTGTTTTGCCAGACTGTAATACACCATATGCTTAACACTGTCATGTCATTGCCCTCGTGATTTACGCCAGATCCTCCACTGTCACAATGTTGATTACACTCCATTAGATGGCATTCACTGGCTGTTTCTGTAAATCTCGTTTATCATGTTCATGTTGAGGTGGCATTTTGTACCAGTCACTTTGTATGTTCTTTATTTCTTGTGTATTATCATTATTGCATACTTTTATTATTACTGCTTGATTCTGGAAGCATTGTTATGATGTATGTACTCAGTCATGTGAAACTCCTTATGATGAATAAATTTGCATATATTTTTGAGATTCAAGATTCTTTCTCAGCACATTTGTACAAATTGATCATTGTAAGAAATACAGTTCAATAATTTTAAATACAGGTAATATATATATATATATATATATATATATATATATATATATATATATATATATATATATATATATATATATATATATATATATATATATATATATATATATATATATATATATACATACATACATACATACATACATACACATACATACATACATACATACATACATACATACATACATACATACATACATACATACATACATACATACATACATACATACATACATACATACATACATACATACATACATACATACATACATACATACATACACATACATACATACATACATACATACATACATATACATATACATACATACATACATACATACATACATACATACATACATACATACATACATACATACATACATACATACATACATACATATATATATATATATATATATATATATATATATATATATATATATATATATATATATATATATATATATATATATATATATATAATGAACCCACACTCGCTTTAATATTATATTTAATAGAATTTAAATTGAAATATTAGTCTCTCGATGAAAATATTTTATTTGTGTTATTATGGAATGTTGGGAATTCTAATGGTAAAATTTTAAATGTAACAGGACAAAAAGTTGGAGCCACTTGGCTGAAAAGATGTCGGCTCAACTGGGAAGCAGATTATCACTGTTTATATCATAAAAAATAAAGTCCTGTCTTCCTCCACTTCAACAGTGTTTTTAAATGATTTTGAATTGTGTATGTTTAATTCATGTATTGCATAGTTAAAAAGGTAACTCCTTAAAAGTTAAAGTTTTAAGTCATTGTAATGGGGTAATTTTATATACAACACTACACTGCATATTCGTGCTCTTTAGGAGTATTTACCTGATTAACATTAAAAACACAAGTGTCTTTTTTTTTTAAATAGGAATAGGTTATTAATTTTATTCCTATACCATAATGCAAATTAGTTCATATATGGTAAAATATGGTTTGATTCATTTAAGACATCATTGGGTATCAATACATTACCAAACTAGTATGCATAAATTAGGTTAGGCTAGTTGAATAATGATACTATTCTTTTTCATCCTCTACGGTGGTTTCTACAGAACATGATCATGCCTACAGTATATAAAGATCAGAATTAAAGATATAAAAGTTTTTCATACATCACTATTTTGCAAGTACAGTACATGTATTCATATACAGTGGTCCCTCGATTAACGAACGGTTCAATTAACGAAATATTGGTTAGCGAATTAGCTCCCAAAAGGATTTTCAGATCCATTAACGAACAAAACTTCGATTATCTACAGCCTTACTAGAAAGAAGCCTTGGTGTGCGCATCAGCTGATCGGCCAGTCCGCCAATACAGTAATTAGTTCTATGTTTACATTCGTTTCCAGTGGAGTAAATATCAAGAAAGTTGGTCTCTTGAATATTTTTGCATTTTTTATATTAAAA